TTGGACTATTAATAATACAATACAATGTGTTACCAAAGTTTTAAAATAAAAGTATTGTTGAGTTGGCTTTCTTATATTTGCTTGCCAACAAATATTTCTCAAATGAAGTAAAATTGCAATAACTTAATTAAATGCAAAATTAATTTTAAGGATATAAATAAGACTTTCAGAATTTTATAATAATTTATAGATATCTTACTAAAATTTCTTATTAAGAAGATTTTTGGGGGTCGCTGAATCAATTCTGAACCACGGGAACGCCGTGTGCTACAGAATGCCACTGCTGCTCTGTGGTTTCCTGAGATGTAGCACTGTTGAAGCGGGAAGCCAGGCGCTCTCTTCCTAAGGGCTGCTGGGGTGGCTCATGCTTACAACCTGTAGGTCTTCAGTGGATTGAACCATGAGCCTTTTATGGGTCTAAGTTTAAAGAAATTAATTTCAAAATTAACAGAAAGGCTTATATGTCAGATATGTACTAGGATTGAATTCACAGAGTCCCTTGCTATACTGGAGACTAGAGTATAAATCTTCTAAATATAAAACACAAACAGCCATATTTTAAAAGTATGCTCTACAAGACCTACATAGATAGCTTGTGATAATAGGCTCTTCAAGGGAAAAACTGAACTGAAATTATCCTTTGATCCAGCAATCTATCTTTAGGGCCTTCAGGCAGATAAATGTCTAAAACATTCTAAGAATTGTGCCTTGTATTCATAATGATAAGGAACCTTGCCTTGAGCCAAATATAAATGGTCATATAATTTAATGTATGCTTAGTGTTCTACAAACCCATCTTATTTTTTAACATGGTTATGTTTTTAGTAATAAAATGATAGTTCCTAAAGTAATGACTGCCATGAAAATATTTGAGTTGTATAATGATATTTTCAAATGCACTAACCATGAATTTCACTTGCCTGACCTAATCAACATTAAAAAGATACCAATTACTGTTTTGTTAATCAATTTATTCTTGAGCATAGTACCATAACTAGACATTTTAACATATTTATTAATATATATTATATATATATAACTGGTTTATTTTAAAAAAATAAGATAAGGCCAATTACCATTTATTTCTTAAGTCAGGTGATACCCCTTCACTGAATAGCAAAATTGTAAATTTGGAAGAAAATATTTTTATGCTTTCTTTTTGGTTTTAAATCATTTTATTGGGGGGGCTTTTACAAATCTTATAACAATCCACCATTCATTGGTATTAAGCAAAGTTGTACATGTGTTGCCATCAGCATTTCCAAATCAATTTATTTCTACTTAAGCCCTTGGTATCAGCTTCTCTTTTTGCCCCTCCCTCCCCACCCACCTACCCTCATGAAACCTTGATCGATTACATATTATTATTGTTCTTTCGTATCATACACTATCCGTTGTCTCCCTTCACCCATCTTTCTGTTATTCGTTCCCCTGTGGGGTTAGCTAAAATATGTTCAACAAGACATTTCAGATATCTCTTGAAGCTTTGGGGTAAAAGTACTAGTTTTATTTTGTTTTCCTGCTTATCATATGTTAGAGTACTTTTCATGTACCACAAATTAGTCTTCAATCATTACTTGAAACTAATTTATCTTGTTCCATCTTTCTTCCCTGTAGATTTTTATCCTTTCTAGTTTCCTTAAAGAGTTTTTCCCAATACTGTGAAAAATAGAACTATTGATGTGTCTGACAAGTGTCAAAAGGGTTTCCTTTTTCTTTCTTTTTTAAATATAGGCTAAGACCAAAGTGAATAGAATAATATTTCCTACCCAGTCATTTCCCCAAGCCTGTGTAAATGTCCCAAGGTTTAATGAACAGAACAGGGAAGCTGCCCTGAACTGAACTCAACTTAAAAAATTACTATATTAATTATGTACAGCAAAATGCTGCAATGGTAGAGTGTGAAATTTTTAGAAATTTTATATAGCCTCTCAAAAATATTTTAATAATAATATATGTGAATGTTTTATTAGTGCATAAATGCCTTTACTGTCTTTTGAACTATTTCATGCAATTATTTAGAATACTGTCATACATTTTACACTTTTTAGCATCTAAGGTTACATTTATTTAGCTATTAATCTACATCCTTGGTTTGAATGTTAGTGATTCAAATTCTATCAACGAAAACAGTTCATGGAAAACATTTTCTTTCTTTTCATTTCAATATTATTCTAATGTCTATCTAGGATCAAAATGCAGTTCTGCATTATGTTCAATTTGCACTATGTCCTATATATATATAGCACAGGCACGTGCTATATAATGTCCATTGGTTCTATGTCCAAAATCATATGTTCAAGTGTTTGGAAGGGCACCAGGCATTGAGGCAGGAGTGGAATTTTATGCATTCAAGCAGGCCCTACCAGGCCCAACAGATCTGCTGGCCTGGCTGCAGCCTCTAAGCTTGAGCAGGGAGGCTTGCCTGCAGCTGCTCGACTTCTTTGCTCCGATCTTCTACTTCTGACCAGGCTCCTTGAGACTGCTTAAAGAGTACCTTGCCTAACTGGTGCTAAGAGAACAGCTTGTACAAGATATACTTTGATATATGAGTATGTGTATTGCACTTGTCCAAATCACATACCACCCTATTTCATCAAATCTATCATGGATATTAAGACACATATGTGTTCAATATGTTCATTACTTGAGTTATTTCACAGGCCATCTAGCATGTAATATCTCTGTAAATTATGTTGCAGAGTGAATTAGTGTCTCATAAAACCAACCTCA